AATGAATATAAATCAAATAACAATAATATATAATTATTGTAATCCATTTTTTCTTGAACACTAACTTGGTTAGCAATCATTTTAATTCTTAAAACATATTGTTCCCATACAAATTGCAAAAAATGTTCCAGTATTCTCTTACTTCAGTTCCATCCAAAATAATTTATTACTTTTATTTTTATCATTACTCTCTACTGGAGGCTCTATGTCATTTTATTTATTTACCTGACACCAAGTGTAATTTTCCTCTATTTTTTAATCTTTAACCTGTTTCAGTACATTCTTTGGTATTATATCTTTCTCTATATCTACATTATTCAATATCTTTCTCTCACACTATTTTTACAGTGTTCTTTTTTCTAAACTGAGCCTCTTTGCTGTTAGCATTTTACCAAGTATTCTTTTTCATATTTCCTGTTAGCATATGTTTCTTAATATACTGATAATACATCTCTTCAGAACAGTGGATGATCTGTCCCAGTGACCTCATTAAGATGTTAAAAAGCTATAGAGAAAGAGCCAAGCTCTGTGACATCCCATATAGAAATAGCCACAGATGTGACAGTTCCTTATACTTCTTACTGAAACTGACTTGAAATTCTAGACCTAGAAAACTTTGAATTACGCCGTCTTCGGTCTGATCTAAGTATGGTAAGTAAAATCATACATTGCAATGACTTACCTGTCAATGAATACTTCAGCTTCAACCATAACAACACAAGAGCACACAATAGATACAAACTCAAGGTTAACCACACCAAACTTGATTGCAGGAAATACGACTTCAGCAACAGAGTGGTCAATGTCTGGAATACTCTACCTGACTCTATGGTTTTTTTCCCCAAACCCCAAAAACTTTAACCTTAGACTGTCTACTATTGACCTCACCCCTTTCCTAAGAGGTCTGTAGGGGGCGTGCATAAGCGCACCAATGTGCCTACCATCCCTGTCCTATTGTTTCTTTTATTTTTCTTATATGTACCCATTTCATGTATTCATAACTTTGTATATACTTATACCTATTATCTTGTAAGCGATTGACAAATCAAATAAAATAAATAAAATAAATAAAAAATAAAGATAGAAGTGGAAATGGTTGATAGTATCAAAGCCAATTGAGAAATCTAAGAGAAACAAAAGGTATGTGATGTTTACTGTCACACTCAGGATAATGTTATAAAATAACCAATATAAAATAATGTACAGATAGTCCTTGATATACAACCATAATTAAGTCTGGAATTGGGTTGTAAGTAGTTGTTGTCATGTGACTGCCTCACTCAATGACCACAATCCCATTTCTTTCTGTTGCTGTTGTTAAATGACTAAACAGATGTGCCTCAAGGGGTGGGGGAGGATTTGGGTGGCATAATTCCCACCAGCCCACCATGCAGGTTGTGAGGAGGCCTCAGCTGGCAAGGTTGATCAGCATATGTGGCATGTCTCTCCCACTTGCCAGTCCCGAGACGCCTAGGCGTTCTGCCTGCTCCACTGAACCCAGAAGGCCTCAGCTTGCTAGGGCCAGCAGGGCATCAATCTCCTCCCTCCCCCTGGCTTTCCCATGAGGTGTGGACTTTTGCTCTGGCCCACCACTTTTGGAAGGTTTCAACCAGGTAGGCCCACCAACATGTGAAAACCTATGATGGGCTGGAAGGTCTCAGCTAACTAAGTACTCTAGCACACAGATCTCCTACTTTCCCCAGACACTTCTGAGAAGCCTGGGCCTTCTCCTTGTCTCTCATGACTTGGTCCACTTACATTTCCCTTTTTGTGTAATGCTGTTTGTTTACTGTATGCACCCAGCCCCTGTGAGGCTTAGCAATCTTCCCCAAGGCTAGCCAGGGACAGGAAGTCAGCCAGCAAAATTTCTGCATACTGATGATAGCCAAGCCCTTATGAGTGTGATGGGGCAGAGATAAGGCCCGTGGCTCTTGGGAGTGCTGAGGGAGGGAGAGGCAAGAGGCCCATTCATCAGTGGGTCTAGCTTGCTGAGGTTCACAGTGGTGGTGGGAGTTGCAGAGTCCCACTGTCATAAGAGCGGGGATGTGTCAAATGCCTGGATTTTGATCATGGGGGATTACAAGGGTCAGAATTTCAGGCAGGAGTCATAAGTTTGTTCAGACCCATCATGATTTTGAATGGTCACTGAATAAATGGTCATAAGGATTACCTGTTCTTAGTGCTGAAAAATACAGTATATGCTGCCAACAGACAGGATATCTAAACTTGTTTCCATTTGGTCTTAATCATATGGCCCTTATCCATATGCAGATCTAGAAATTATTAAAATTTTAGTTCTGGTGTCAGCAAAAACTCCATAAAGGTTCCCAGAATTTTATAAAAACTTGTCTTTGTTTAACCTTGGTCAAACCAGCCAACTTTGCATTTCTTCCTTTTGCTACTAGCAGTCTTTATGTTTAATTCATTTGGATGTCATAGGATTTTATCTTCAGTTTTTTTTCCTCCTATCTTAAAGACCTTTTGTTGAAGCTTTAACCTCTTTTGTAAATCAAGTAATAGATATTATTCAGGACATTCTCTTGAGTTGTCATTTCTATTTTCACTGTCATCTTGTTTTATAATCTACATATTTTCCAGTGTTGAAACAGTTCCTTTATATTCTAATATTTCTGCATCAGACGAGATTTGTTTCAATTCTTTATTGTATAGATCTTATACAAAGTGTCCTCTTGTACATCATTTCATTTCGTATTACAATTAAGTATTTTAATTTTTCATTCCATACCACATTTTGCAAAATCTTAATACTAGAAGAAGAATGATAGATGACAGCCCTTATTAGTTTCTTATACCTTTCTTTTCATTACAAACAACTTCTTAAAAGAGTTTATTTAATTTAGCATACAAATTTATCTTCATTCTTGCCTAATTCCTAATATATAATTTAACAATTCATTATAATCTTTCAAACTACATCATTATTGTTTAAACAGTGATTATAATTACTACAAATGTTACACAAAATAAAAGACAAAATCTCTACAATAGATTGGGATGCTGCACACTTGAGAATGGTTTGGGAGATATATTTCATGCAGTAGTTCTTTGCTGTGTTTAAAATAGCCTGACTTTTGTACTTTGGGGTCTGAATTCCCCTACCCTCCCAAGTGCTATTGCATTTACATTAATGTTACCAAGAGGATTCTTTAGAGCAGCAGCATTTTATATATGTTTCAGGCTCCTGTTAAAGCATGAAGTGTGCAGCACTATATTATACTGGGTAATCATGAAAAATATTTATTAGCATTTAATAGCCACCAAAGCAAATTAAACCAAAGTTTTATTATCTGGGAATACAATTTCTGATAATGGAGTAACAAACCAAGAAATCTATTTTTTATATTTTTAATGAAAGTATCACAAAAACATTGTGGAATGTGGGAAGAGTAGAATTCTGACATCTAAATTTTCTATTCATCTTTATTAAAAAGTTGTATATTAACAAGTTTATATTAGAATTGTAATCAGAACTAAAATAAATTAAGAGGTTGGTTTGATATAAGGGTCCGCATATTCCATTAGCTGGTGATTTACTTGTTTTAAGTATATCTTTAGCTATTTCATATAGTAACACCATAGTTTGTGAGCCAGCGGCTGGTCATGCAAGGGCATCTTCTGGTATTGGGAGGAAACTGCTGGAAAGCCTTGTGTGGCCAACAGCTGTTCACAAAATTCCAGGCCAATCATGCTTGTTCAACAGTAGGAGCAAGAAGATGGAAAAGTCAGCTGGGGCAGTGAATGTAGGGTGACAATAAGGACAGAGATGGCAGGTAGAGGGTTGCTTTCAATGTAGACAGGCTGTCAAGCACCTGAATTTTGATTGTGTAACCACAGGGGTGCTCCAAAACTGATAACTCTGAGAACCAGGTGTATATACCATAGGATCAGTGCTGTTGTAACTTGAAATGGTTGCTGAACAATTTCTGTTTGTCTACAACTCTGTCCCATCTCTTCTTCATGGTACATTATTTATTAGAGCTACAGTATGCAAATCTTCCAAAAGAGGTGCTTTGCAAAAAGGAGAAGTGCAGATGAATTCCTTCTCTGAATAATTAAAACGGTGGCATCTTTTTCCAGGTTCGTGTGACAGTTTCATAAGTTTGTCCTGGATTTCTCTGTGTGTATAGTTTGGGGAAAAATGTCAGTACTTTAATTACTGAAAGAGAAGTGTTTTGTATGCTATCCCCCACACTGTATTAGAAGAGTACCACTTTGGAAGCTTTTATACATCATTATGATTTGTAGAATGAAATAAGACCAACTGAGAAGGTGACTAGGTAAAAAATGGTCTGGTCATCCTA